GAAACACCTAAAAAACACCTATAAACCAAGTGCTACAATGTTTCACCAATACTACGGGCATGCTAGGTCCATGATGGTTGAAAAACGCACACGGTCTGATTTTTTCGGACAGCGATGGGCCTATGGGTGAAATAACTGTAGCATTTCGCCCGACCCTATGAGACCCTGTTACACAATGGCGTAGGACCCCAATGCATCACCATGGGATCTTGATCCAAATCCCAAGATAGAAGTATCATTTTACCTGCTAACTTGCCTTCCACCCGGTCGCCGGTCGTAATTTTCCCCATTTGAAAAACCATTTTATCGTCATTCCTCACTCTTTCTCTCTCTTAAAAGTACATTTTTGAAGCAAAACTCTCCTACTCTCTTCTCGGTAAAAATCTCCTCCCCAAACCCTAGCAACCTTTTCATCTTCCTCTCTCTCTCTCTAAAAAGTACCACCCTTCCCGCTCTTTTCTTTAATATGAAACTCTTTGCCCCAAACACTAGCAGAGTTACAAAAGTTGCATATGTCGTTTTCTTTCATGCCAAATGAGAAGATCTTGGACCCCGGCTCTTGTGAATTTCTTGATTTGGACACTTTCTTTCTTTATCAGATTTGGGGGTTTGGATCCATTTCCATATTCTTACATTGAGGTTTGGATTTCTTTATCAAGTAATAATTGGGTTTGTGGATTTTGTTTTTCCCACTCTATCTGGTAATTAGGTTTTGGTTTTGGTACCATTCACATCCATTATATCTCTATCTGGTAATTAGGTTTTGGTTTTGGTACCATTCACATCCATTATATGTATCGGTTGCCTTTGTAATGCTCTCTTCCTAAACCGAGACATGTATCTTAGCTCTACCATGTTTGTTTCCATTCTTATTGGAAGTCATTTTCAACTGTTTCAAGGTCCTTTGAAGCTTTGAAGCTCTTTCCATACTGGAATAGGTATCATCACCTCTTCTTGTCATATATTCGTAGGTTTTAATACCCATTGAGGTTTTGCATTCATGTTTTGGTTTAGAAAGAGCTTCAAATGACCTTGAAACAGTTGAGAATGACTTCCAATAAGAATGGAAACAGACATGGTAGAGCTGAGATACATGTTTTGGTTTAGAAAGAGAGCATTACAAAGGCAACCGATATATATAATGGCTGTGAATAGAATTAGAACCAAAACCTAATTACCAGATAGAGTGAGAAAAACCAAATCCAAAAACCTGATTATTACTTGATAGAGAAAATCCAAACCATGTAATACAAAAATATGACAATGGATCCAAACCCCCAAGTATGAGAAAGAGAGCAAGAGTCCAAACCAAGACATTCACAAGAGCTGGGATCCATGATCATTCGATTTGACATGAGGAAAAAAAACATCTGCAACTTCTGTAACTCTGCTAGTGTTTGGGACGAAGAGTTTCACAGAGAAATAGAAAGCAAGAAGGGTATTTTTTAGAGAGAGAGAGAGAAAGAAAGATGAAAGGGCTGCTAGGGTTTGGGGTGGAGATTTTTACAGAGAAGTGTGGGAGAGTTTTGCTTCTAAAAAGTACTTTTTAGAGAGAGAGAGAGAGAGAGATGGACAATGAAAAGTTTTTTTCAAATGGGGAAAATTACCACCAGCGACTGGCTGGAAAGCAAGTATGCGAGTAAAATGATACTTCTATGGATTTGCATCAAGATCCAATGGTGATGCATTGGGATTCTATGCCATTGCGTGTGGTGGGGTCTCATAGGATCATTACTTTACAGAGAATGATCATGTGATTTATAAATACACACTGTTGGTGTGTATCTAACTTATAAACCATCAATCACACAAAAATAAAAATCTAACAAGCTACTAACTTGAACAGCTCATCAACGATTTTCTTTGGTAAATTATGTTGACACTTTGCCCATCTTTTATATCACGTCAAAAAGTCCACCCTGTTTCTCTCCCTTATCCATATTGCTCTCTCATCTCTCATATTCACATGGTCTACACTCGCCCCTCATTCATTCTCTCTCTCCTTTCCAAGTAAGAATTCTTTAGGGGTGTTTTTGATAACATGAAGTTGCTTAGGAACTTATCTGTTACTGTCGCTCATGTTTGATAAAAGTTGGTAAGTTTAAAATGGGAAGTTCCTGTTACCGTAAAACTTACCCCTCTTAAGCTTAAAAAAACTTTCGACGAAATATACAGAACTTAAAAATGGAAGATTTGAGGGGAAGTTCATTGGTATTTGAGGGGAAGTTCATCCCAATGAAAAGGCCACCCCACCCGCGTGAAAACCCCCTTTTAAAAATAAACCTAGCCATAGTTGCTTCCTCTCCCCAACCGCTATAGCCGCCGGCTCTCTCTCTCTCTCTCTCTTTGTGACAATGCTCTCTCTCTTTGTTCTCTATCTCTCTCTCTTAAGAAGGATTCTCTCTCTTTGTTCTCTATCTCTCTCTCTTAAGAAGGACGCTTATATCTATGTCTCTGTCTCTTGCTCTCTCATACTTATATCTATGTCTCTGTCTCTTGCTCTCTCATATGTAGCAGAAGATTTAAGAATTGGTTGTTGATGTTTTATTTTTTGTTTCTTTCTTTTAAGAATGATTACTAGATTTATATTTTCTTATATGAATAAAATCTTGTTAATATCAGTTTTTTGTTTTATAAATATCACCCATAGATGAATAGATGATACTTATTTGAGAGAAAGAGAGGTGAAAATATTGCCATTTTATGGCTAGAAAATATGATTAGTTTATATTCCCATATGTCAGCAAAATAATCACAAAGTTTATATTCCCATTTGCAGTGTTGGATTCACCAATCACCTCTTCTCTCTCTGTTCTTACATTCTTCTAGAATATTATTACCTTCGAATTCTACATTTCTAATTTTGAACCATTTCCAAAGATCTAAGCATTGGGCTTCTGTATATTCCAAGTGCAATGATTCTGAGGTAAAAATAGTATGTTAATGTCTTCTCTCTTTCTTTCTCTCTCTAATCTTACATATGTTCCTTTAATGAGTTCTTTCTTTTCAGTAATTGCATTTCCCGTGCTTTAATGGACATTTGATTCGCTCTTTTCTTTATGCTCGACTCTTCTCCCGCCCTTTTTGTCATCTGTTTGTGTATTTTGTGGTCTCTTTCTCTCTTTTCCAAAACTTGAATCCTTTTCACTCCGTTGCAGCCGTGAGGACCATGTTGATACTTGCAGTTTCAGCTTAATATGTACTAGTAATATTAAAGAATTCTTTATTCCAAAAAAAAATCACTTGGGATTTAAAAGTATTTCCTTCTCCAAATTTTTTTTTCACTTGCTATTAATATTGTAACCTAATGAAAGGCATTGCTTTATCTGTTCTGGTTATTAATAGAAAAGTATCTATTTTGACTTGGTTTGTTATGTTCTCTTTCCTTTATTTCATTATTTCGTGCCTAGGTAGAAATACAGTTAGATTGCTTGATAGAAGTCCTTTATAGTGAGGTAATGGCAAATTCCTTTCGTATATCTTCACCAGTCACCACATACATGTGGGTGCATGGAATTCAAAGCCAATTATCATACCTTTACATGTGGTTGCATGGAATTCAAAACCAATTGTCATGCCTTCTTTCATCATTTTTGTTTG